CTGGGCCTGTTTGGAGATCTTTGTTTATGGCTTTTACTTGGTTGGGCTCCATGAGAGGATTCTGGGACCCTTCGCCCCTAAATCCTTGAACCCCCTCAGCCCCAAACCCTAAACCCTAAACCCTAAACCCTAAACCCTAAACCCTAAACCCTAAACCCTAAACCCGAAACCCTAAACCCGAAACCCTAAACCCTAAACCCTAAGCCCTAAACCGCAATTTGTTACGGTCAAGGGCTTGGCATCGGCATTAGGGGTTTTCCCTGATGCTGTCCTCAGGGAAGTAACATAGGGGTCGGAATAATTTCTAATTAGTATTTCCTAAGTAGGGTCCCTTTAGGGTCCCTTTACATTTTTGCTACTACAAAAAAACCCAAAAAACCCTGTTTTCGAGTCATTCAGGCCCCTGTACTAGGGGTTCGGGTTCGGACCCCAACCTAAAACCGTGAGAGAGCTCAGTGATCTTGGCCTTGAGAAGCTCTGCGTCGCGCGTGGTGGCGTGTGGTGTTTAGAGCAGCCACGGTCGTCGTTGTTGGTGCGACATCCTCGATTCCAGGACTACTTGAGGAAACACAACGCATCTTCCCACCACTCTTTCGTCAACTTTTATAGCGGCCCAACAATCTGAACGATCCCAGGTCTTCAAGATCCACTTTTGGATGCGATTCTTTGGAGCCCCGACTCCGAAGAGATCCACGATTTGGAGCAACAGCTTGGGGATCTGAACGATCCATGCCAGCTGCAGGTCTCTGGACTGGGCCACCAGCCCGGTTCCCACCCCACACCCTGAGAACCCTAAACTCAGCCCTAAGCCCTCAGTCCCCCCACCTGACGACTGTAGCCCGACGCCCCAGCCCTTATGTGCTGGAGAGTATACAGTGTGGGGTTTCGGTTGAGGGTTTGGGGTTAGTCGGAAGTGGCATCATGGGTAGGTTGTGACAACAGGGGACCCCCAAGAAATAGTAGGATTCCCTTATGCTAAGGACCCCAATAGGGCACCACCCAATTTCGGAAACCTCCATGTAGTCTTCTCCTGTATGAGCAGGAGAGCCTGTCCACTGCCATCAACGAGCAGCTGCCAGACCTCTTTGGGCTTGTAGGGCTCATAGGCTCCGAGGGCTTAGAGCGCTTTTTGGGGCGTTTAGAGCACACTTTTAGAGGGCTGAGGCGCAAATCATCCGCAGCCCTACGCGCTGTGGGAGCCCCACAAATCCCACAGGCTCCCCCAAGGATCCTTCAGAGTTTAGGGTTGAGGGTTTAGGGTGTAGGGTTAGGGTCAATATCCCTGGATTAGGGAGAATATTGCGTAGTTTCAGAGTCTCTGGGCGGGGGCTAAACCGGTTTAGGCCTTATACGTTTCCTGGTTTACAGGCATTGAAGCGTTGAGCGGGTTTAGGGCCTTAGGGTTCTGGTTTTCGGGCTCAGTGCACTGTTTCTGAAGATGTGTCCCTAAACCCTAAACCCCAAAAGGATTCATGGGGTCGTGGAAGCGACATTTGCAGTTTCGGGTTTGGGGTTTGGTTTTACCCTATCATGCTAGCTGAACCCGGCCCTGAGCCTTGAATTCCCGAAGCCCTAACATCTAAAAACCCGTAGACCCCCTAAGCCATCACCTAAGCTTGAAGTTTCTGAACCCTACGCCCGAAATCCCTTATCAAAAGAGTCCTAAACCCTAAACCCTAAACCCTAAACCCTAAACCCTAAACCCTAAACCCCAAACCCCAAACCCTAAACCCTAAACCCTAAACCCTAAACCCTAAACCCTAAAAAGAGTCCCAAGGCTAACCGCATCCATGGCTCCCTTCGGCTTCACCATCAGCAACGTTCTCACCACGCAGCCGCGCGCCTGGAAGGGATGGCCTCGAAATCCCTTGAGCTTTTAGGGCTTACAGGGTTTGGGGCTTAGGGTTTAGGGTTTAGGGCCAAAGTTTAGGGTTTAGGGTTTAGGGTTTAGGGCTTAGGATGTAGGGTTGAGGGTTTACGGGGCTCATGGGGTTCATAACTCTGGGGTTTGTAGGGTTTTGTCGGGCTTCTCAGAGTTTATAGGTTTGTCTAGGGTGTAGTAGGGTTTGTTGGTTTTGAAGGTTTTTGTCGGGTTTTGTAGGGTAGTTAGGGTTTATGGGCCAAGTCAGGCACAACAAGCACCTCTATGGCATACTTGGGAGGTTCCGAAACGTAGCGGTCTGTTTGGCGGGCTTTCCTTTCTTAGGGCGATAATATTTTGATTTGGTATATACGGGGTTCCCCGATTTTGGGGCAAAATCCCTGCTCTCAAAGCTAGTGGGAGGGGTTTAAGTTTAAGTTGCGTTCCGTTGACCCGTAGCTTTTGGTTTGTTCTCCACAGCAGCCCTAAGCCCCCCAAACCCGAAAGCCCCAAACCCCAATCCCTGAACCCTAAGCTGCATGGTGGACCTGGGTGTGTAGAGCTTGATTCCTTATCCAGCACGACCTCGATCCTGTAGCTGTGTTGTAGCTCAGGTGTCTTCCATAGGACCCCCTGGGCTCCCCCTGTGCCGTTCCTTGGGCGGTGGGAACCCTCAAGACTCCCAAGAGCAAAACAAAAAGAATAAACACACTAAGCCCTAAGCTTCAAGCCTTATCAACCCTGAACCCTATACGCGAAACCCTAAACGTTACAGACCCGAAGCCCTAAAACCCAACCCTTAACCTTCGTGGCATAGAGGGTTTATACCCTCAAATTTGCATTCCTGAGGATACGCCTGCACCAAAGCGTCATGGACGCCATGAACGAGATCAACCGATTTCTGGCAGCGCTTTTCAAAAGGGTTTCAGGCGTTGTTGGCTTTAGGTTTGGCATCTAGGGTGCACTAGACCCGAACCCGGACAAACTATAAAGGCATCCTGGGGGATCATCCGTACGACTCCCCAAATTTCAGAGGTGTTAATCTGGGTTTTCGAGTACTAGACTTAAGTCCATTTTTTTGGTTTTGTTCCTGTTATATCTACTTATACCAGAAGAAGTATATACTGTTTTTTCCAGGGTCTACTCCAAGGTAGGGTCATCCTAGGTAGGATAAGGAGGGCCCTTAAAAGGGAACCCTTCTGAACCCTCTTCTGGCTCTCTGAAACAGGGACCTTATTCAGAGGGTCCATATCCCCAAGGGTCCCCGTAATCCTATGCGGTTTAGGGTTTAGGGTCTAGGGTTGAGGGTTGAGGGTTGAGGGTTTAGGGTTTAGGGTTGAGGGTTGAGGGTTGAGGGTTTAAGGGTTTAAGGGTTTACGGGTTTAAGGGTTTAGAGTCTAGAATTTAGTTTAGGGGCTCCCAGCCCACTAGTGGTTTGTCGGCGCCATGGTTTGGTTGCAGTGCTGGGTTCGCGTATCCCTCACCGCTTTGATCAAATAGCTGGAGCGTCGACTCGCGGAACGAGCTGCTCAGGCAGAGGCGGAGATGGGCGGAGGACGACGGACAATTGGCCAGCTAGGGACCAACTGAGCCAGACCACCCTCCCACCGGTCTCCCTCCAAATCCACCTGAAGATGCGGCGGACGAAGTCGTTCCTGAGGCAAGAGAGACCCCGTCGCTCAGGCTCTTCTGGAGCAAGTTGCAGCGGCAGAGGCTACTGATGCCTTCATCACCGATGCCGAGGAACCTTCTTCTGCTGCACGACGTCCCGTTCACGCCGCAAAGCCTGCTCCCCATCCTAACCCACCCCCTAAACCCCCCTCAACCCCCTCAACCCCCTCAACCCCCTCAACTCCCCTCAACACCCTCCCCCTCAACCTGAGCCCTCAACCCCCTCAAACCCCCCTAAAACCCCTAAACCCCCCCCCTAAACCCCCCCATTTGGTGCCGGGGCCCAGGGCAGAAGCGACTCCGCGAAGCGGCGATTATGCAGCTTGCCTAAGGGAGGAAGACCCAAGAGATACTTATAATCTAACCCTAAGGGTCCATGTACCTTATTATTATATGCTCAGACCCAAAAGTCCTTATATAGGAAGTACTTTAAGGCCCAAGTATTCCATAATTAGGTACATGGACCCTTAGGGTAATCTACCATCTTGCTTAAGAACCCCCCCAAAAGAAGGACATCCTTATAAGGGTAATATAGGAAAGGAAATTGTCATCTTTCTTCTGGGGGGGTTCTTGAGCACATAGGAGTACTAATGTCACAAAACTACCTGTATTAGTATTATAGCAATGCCTAGTACGCAAAATAATAGTTATTGCATCATTATACTCATGTACCATGAAGGATCCATGGGAGGAAGAGTCTAGGCTGTAGGGTTGAGGGTTAGGGTGTTGGGCGCAGGGTCTGTCGTCTAATGTTAATGGCTGAGCTTTGAGGGTTGAATGCTATTGGATGGCGTAGACCATAAGGCCTGCACGGCAGTCCCTGGAGTCAAGACTAAACCCTAAACACACCCCCCCCTCTCCACGCTGGAAGAAGCTTGGACCTGCTTTTGAAGCCTCACGCAGCAAACTAAATTACATCCTCAACCCTGCACCCTAAACCCCTAAGAGTTAATGGCGTATTTCCACTCGAGATGCGATCGGATCAAGACTAAGTAATGACAGTTGATCATCGATGCTATTTTTCATGATTCGTTCTAGTTATTGTGAAGATTGGGACACGCATGTTGGAGACTATTCACTTCGTGTAGCCCAAAATAAAAAAGAGTGTCCAAAGGTGCTAGTCTACGGTTTAGGGCTTCAGCATGTCGGGTCTGGGGTTTAGCGTTTAGAAAACTTACAGTAGGACAGTTGGGGTTAGGGTTGGTTTCGGCTGCGGCTTTAGTATCTCAGCTTACAGTTACACATGATTGCCCCGCCCGAGTGCACTTATACCCTGACTGCTAACTTGGATCCGAAACCCTAAGCCCTGAACCTCAGAAGACCGTCGTTTCCTTGAACAATGCTCAATTCTGTGATGCCGGCGGATGACGTTGCAGCATCTGAGGCCGCCGGGCTTCGGTAGGATTTTGCGGGGCGTTTGGTTTCACACAGTGCAAGGCGGTTTCGCACGGACTTTGCTGCTTTTTCGATGTGCCAGGACGTGGAGTGGCAGTGCTGGGACCTTTGGAGCCGCATGGAGGAGCAGTCCGCCCTGCTGGCCAACGAGAGCGCGCGAGCCGACGCGCTCGTGGCGGCGCTGCAGGTCGAGCGCTCCTGGAGTCGCCGCTGGTGCGGCGGACTCCAGGAGCAGCTGCGCTCCAGCCAGGGCCGCATCGAGGAGCTGGAGAAGGAGCTGGAGAAGCAGTTGAGACGCTCGGGCGACGAGCGGGAGGAGCACGTGCAGCGCTGCCGGCAGCTGCAGGGGGAGAACCTCGAGCTGGCGAGCCGGCTGCAGGAGATGCAGACTGCGATGCTACAGAACACACCGCAGCCGGACTCGTCTGAGTCCCAGACGATGATGGCTGGCAGCAGAGCCGCGGGTTCCGAGATTCTGGACCCGTCAGACCCATCATGCCTCGTGCTGCCCAGCCTTTTGCAGTATCTTGCGTTGGAAGATATTCTGGCATGGCGCCTGACTTCCCGCCAGACCAGGAGTCCCAGGGTCTTGATACAGCACGTGACCGAAATGGGTAGGTTGGACAGCCCGGAGTCAATTCTCGACTTCTCTGCAAAATGGAAAGCTGCTCTTGCGGACGCGCCTGCTACATTCGAAGAACTTCAGAAGGACGTCAAGCAGCTTAAGCTCTTTGTCTGTCGCTGGTGGTGTCTGAGGCTGGCGAACGCGAGACTCACTCATTTCCCAGAAAGCGACGTCCGCCATATCGTCACCGCAAACCTTCGAGATCTGCTTGCGCACATCCGAAGCAAGGACAAATCTTTGAGAGGAAGTGCGCACCGGCTTTTGATGAACTATGCCTTTGGTAGCCTTCCTTTTGTTCAGCATCTGATTGCGGACGGGTTGCTGGGTTTGATGGGAGACCTGCTGCCGGAGTCGGCCACAACCAGCAAACAGGCCTCGCTCCTGGTACAGAGCTGCTCACGGCATCTTTCTGGCCTCGTGCGCGGACTGACGAAGCGCCAGCGTCAGAAGTGGGCTTCCATGCTGGTCAGAGTCCTTCAAGGTCAGATAGCTGTCAAATCGGCACGGATTATTGATAGCCTGAAGATCCTGTGGCGAGCTGATGACGATCCCAGACGAAGCTACGCAGAAGAAGAGCAGCAGCTGAGGGCTTTCTCAAAGCACGCTAGCCCAGATCTGCAGCGCGAGCTTTGCAATCTCCGCTACTTGTGACATCTGCTTCGCGCAATTCTGAACCTCGAACAGCCCTAAACCCATGTAAGGGGGGGGGGGGGTGAAGCGCATCACAAAGGGATGGAGGGGCTCGGGGGTGTGTTTTGGGTCTAGGGGTTACGGGTTGGCGGAACCGAGTTCAGAGTCTTAGGGGCGTTGGGGGGTTTTAAGGCCTGGAGTGCAGGTTGGTCTAACAATTTCGGCTTTTTGGCCGTCCACCTTCGACCCCAATTAACCCCCCCCAGAAAAAATATCACAAGAAAAGAAAAGGAGCCCTTTGTCAAGGTTTTGGGCTTTTGGTTGCTGAGGCTTAGTAGAGAGTTCTTGGGCTAGGTAAACCCTAAACCCTAAACCCTAAACCCTAAACCCTAAACCCTAAACCCTAAACCCTAAACCCTAACCACTAACCCCTAAGCCCTAGGCCCTAAGCCCTAAACCCTAAACCCTAAACCCTAAACCCTAAACCCTAAACCCTAAACCCTAAACCCTAAACCCTAAACCCTAAACCCTAAACCCTAAACCCTAAACCCTGAACCCTAAACCCTAAACCCTAAATGGGATATTTTGTATTTCGCCTTCTTGGATTTCAGCGATTTAAGGGGATCTCGCTCTAGGAGCCAGAGTAGGCCCTTGATTCGCTTCTTTTTCGGGTTTAGGTGCCCTTACAAACCCCCTTTGAGCCCGAAAAGGGTAAACCCTTTGGTCTAGGTTACTCTTGGGTCACCGTAAACCCTAAACCCTAAACCCTAAACCCTCAACCCTAAACCCTAAACCCTAAACCCTAAACCCTAAACCCTAAACCCTAAACCCTAAACCCTAAACCCTAAACCCTAACACCTAAACCCTAAACCCTAAACCCTAAACCCTAAACCCTAAACCCTAAACCCTAAACCCTAAACCCTAAACCCTAACCCCTCACCCCTAAACCCTAAACCCTAAACCCTAAACCCTAAACCCTAAACCCTAAACCCTAAACCCTAAACCCTAAACCCTAAACCCTAAACCCTAAACCTCTCCTACCATATAATTATAAACCTTATTGGTATTCGTGGGCAAGGCCCAAATATTCGTGGGCAAGGCCCAAAGATTCGTGGGCAAGGCCCAAATATTCGTGGGCAAGGCCCAAAATCAGGATTTTGGGCCTTGCCCACGAATTTTTGGGCCTTGCCCACGAATTTTTGGGCCTTGCCCACGAATTTCTGGGGTTGTTGGTTCGTGGGCAAGGCCCAAAAATTCGTGGGCAAGGCCCAAATATTCGTGGGCAAGGCCCAAATATTCGTGGGCAAGGCCCAAATATTCGTGGGCAAGGCCCAAATATTCGTGGGCAAGGCCCAAATATTCGTGGGCAAGGCCCAAGTATTCGTGGGCAAGGCCCAAAAATTCGTGGGCAAGGCCCAAGGCCCACAATGCCCTTGAGACCCTAAACCGTTGAGCCCCTAAACCCTTGAGACCCTAAACACTTGAGACCCTAATTAGGGTTTCAGGGCCTCAAGGCCTGGCGTTTAGGGTTTCAGGGCCTCAAGGGTGGCCCCAAGGCATGGCGTTTAGGGTTTCAAGGCCTCAGGGCCTGTGTTTAGGGTTCTAGGGCCCAGCGTTTAGGGTTTCAAGGCTTCAGGGCCTGTGTTTAGGGTTTCAGGGCCTCAGGGCCTGTGTTTAGGGTTTCAGGGCCCAGCGTTTAGGTTTCAAGGCCTCAAAGCCTGTGTTTAGGGGTTTCAGGGCCTCAGGGCCTGTGTTTAGGGTTCCAGGGCCCAGCGTTTAGGGTTTCAAGGCTTCAGGGCCTGTGTTTAGGGTTTCAGGGCCTCAGGGCCTGTGTTTAGGGTTTCAAGGCCTCAGGGCCTGTGTTTAGGGTTTCAGGGCCTCAGGGCCTGTGTTTAGGGTTTCAGGGCCCAGCGTTTAGGTTTCAAGGTCTCAGGGCCTGTGTTTAGGGTTTCAGGGCCTCAGGGCCTGTGTTTAGGGTTTCAGGGCCCAGCGTTTAGGGTTTCAAGACCTCAAAGCCTGTGTTTAGGGTTTCAGGGCCTCAGGGCCTGTGTTTAGGGTTTCAGGGCCCAGCGTTTAGGGTTTCAAGGCTTCAGGGCCTGTGTTTAGGGTTTCAGGGCCTCAGGGCCTGTGTTTAGGGTTTCAGGGCCCAGCGTTTAGGGTTTCAAGGCCTCAAAGCCTGTGTTTAGGGTTTCAAGGCCCCAGGGCCTGTGTTTAGGGTTTCAGGGCCCAGCGTTTAGGGTTTCAAGGCCTCAGGGCCTGTGTTTAGGGTTTCAGGGCCTCAGGGCCTGTGTTTAGGGTTCCAGGGCCCAGCGTTTAGGGTTTCAAGGCTTCAGGGCCTGTGTTTAGGGTTTCAGGGCCTCAGGGCCTGTGTTTAGCAAAGTCTGTGTTTAGGGTTTCAGGGCCTCAGGGCCTGTGTTTAGGGTTTCAGGGCCCAGCGTTTAGGGTTTCAAGGCCTCAGGGCCTGTGTTTAGGGTTTCAGGGCCTCAGGGCCTCAGGGCCTGTGTTTAGGGTTTCAGGGCCCAGCGTTTAGGGTTTTCAAGGCCTCAAAGCCTGTGTTTAGGGTTTCAGAGCCTCAGGGCCTGTGTTTAGGGTTTCAGGGCCCAGCGTTTAGGGTTTCAAGGCTCAGCGTTTAAGGTTTCAAGGCCTCAAAGCCTGTGTTTAGGGTTTCAGGGCCTCAGGGCCTGTGTTTAGGGTTTCAGGGCCCAGCGTTTAGGGTTTCAAAACCTCAGGGCCTGTGTTTAGGGTTTCTGTGTTTAGGGTTCCAGGGCCCAGCGTTTAGGGTTTCAAGGCCTCAGGGCCTGTGTTTAGGGTTTCAGGGCCTCAGGGCCTGTGTTTAGGGTTTCAGGCGTTTAGGGTTTCAAGGCCTCAAAGCCTGTGTTTAGGGTTTCAGGGCCTCAGGGCCTGTGTTTAGGGTTCCAGGGCCCAGCGTTTAGCGTTTCAAGGCTTCAGGGCCTGTGTTTAGGGTTTCAGGGCCTCAGGGCCTGTGTTTAGGGTTTCAGGGCCCAGCGTTTAGGGTTTCAAGGCCTCAAAGCCTGTGTTTAGGGTTTCAGGGCCTCAGGGCCTGTGTTTAGGGTTTCAGGGCCTCAGGGCCTGTGTTTAGGGTTCCAGGGCCCAGCGTTTAGGGTTTCAAGGCTTCAGGGCCTGTGTTTAGGGTTTCAGGGCCTCAGGGCCTGTGTTTAGGGTTTCAGGGCCCAGCGTTTAGGGTTTCAAGGCCTCAAAGCCTGTGTTTAGGGTTTCAGGGCCTCAGGGCCTGTGTTTAGGGTTTCAGGGCCCAGCATTTAGGGTTTCAAGGCTTCAGGGCCTGTGTTTAGGGTTTCAGGGCCTCAGGGCCTGTGTTTAGGGTTTCAGGGCCCAGCGTTTGGGGTTTCAAGGCCTCAAAGCCTGTGTTTAGGGTTTCAGGGCCTCAGGGCCTGTGTTTAGGGTTTCAGGGCCCAGCGTTTAGGGTTTCAAGGCCTCAGGGCCTGTGTTTAGGGTTTCAGGGCCTCAGGGCCTGTGTTTAGGGTTTCAGGGCCCAGCATTTAGGGTGTCAAGGCCTCAAAGCCTGTGTTTAGGGTTTCAGGGCCTCAGGGCCTGTGTTTAGGGTTTCAGGGCCCAGCGTTTGGGGTTTCAAGGCCTCAAAGCCCGTGTTTAGGGTTTCAGGGCCTCAGGGCCTGTGTTTAGGGTTTCAGGGGGTCATCTTCTCGATTTCCCAGCCAGTGTCCATGGGTGACCTGCCACCGTTGCAACATTGACTGCTTCATTGAGGGCTTATATAAGGGTTATGCAACAAGGGGCAGCGCAAAAGGGAATGCCATCCCCCCTTCGACCAGCACCACTGATGTGGCAGGTGTCGCCGTCCTATACTGGACCCTTCTCACGCCAATTTGGGACGCCCCTGGGCTGCCGCCATGCTTCTGCTAACGTCTGGACAGGACTGAAGTCCTCTTCAGTTTGGCCCCAGTTGTCGGCGGCCCATCGTTAGTTTCCAGGCCCAGGGCCTGTGTTTCAGGTTGCAGGGCCTCAGGGCCTGTGTTTAGGGTTTCAGGGCCCAGCGTTTAGGGTTTTTAGGCCTCAAGGCCTCAAAGCCTGTGTTTAGGGTTTCAGGGCCCAGCGTTTAGGGTTTCAAGGCCTCAGGGCCTGTGTTTAGGGTTTCAGGGCCTCAGGGCCTGTGTTTAGGGTTTCAGGGCCCAGCGTTTAGGGTTTCAAGGCCTCAGGGCCTGTGTTTAGGGTTTCAGGGCCTCAGGGCCTGTGTTTAGGGTTTCAGGGCCCAGCGTTTAGGGTTTCAAGGCCTCAGGGCCTGTGTTTAGGGTTTCAGGGCCTCAGGGCCTGTGTTTAGGGTTTCAGGGCCCAGCGTTTAGTGTTTCAAGGCCTCAAAGCCTGTGTTTAGGGTTTCAGGGCCTCAGGGCCTGTGTTTAGGGTTTCAGGGCCCAGCGTTTAGGGTTTCAAGGCCTCAGGGCCTGTGTTTAGGGTTTCAGGGCCTCAGGGCCTGTGTTTAGGGTTTCAGGGCCCAGCGTTTAGGGTTTCAAGGCCTCAAAGCCTGTGTTTAGGGTTTCAGGGCCTCAGGGCCTGTGTTTAGGGTTTCAGGGCCCAGCGTTTAGGGTTTCAAGGCCTTCAGGGCCTGTGTTTAGGGTTTCAGGGCCTCAGGGCCTGTGTTTAGGGTTTCAGGGCCCAGCGTTTAGGGTTTCAAGGCTCAGGGCCTGTGTTTAGGGTTTCAGGGCCTCAGGGCCTGTGTTTAGGGTTTCAGGGCCCAGCGTTTAGGGTTTCAAGGCCTCAGGGCCTGTGTTTAGGGTTTCAGGGCCTCAGGGCCTGTGTTTAGGGTTTCAGGGCCCAGCGTTTAGGGTTTCAAGGCCTCAGGGCCTGTGTTTAGGGTTTCAGGGCCTCAGGGCCTGTGTTTAGGGTTTCAGGGCCCAGCTTTAGGGTTTCAAGGCCTCAGGGCCTGTGTTTAGGGTTTCAGGGCCTCAGGGCCTGTGTTTAGGGTTTCAGGGCCCAGCATTTAGGGTTTCAAGGCTTCAGGGCCTGTGTTTAGGGTTTCAGGGCCTCAG